AATCTTTGGGTGTTTCAATTTTCTCTTGGGCGTTAAAAACTTTTTGAATGTTTCCAAAATATCTATCGCACACACTATACGAGTGGCCTCCAACAAGAATTTTAAGTCTGTTCGTAGGAAGTCTCCTCTTGTGACCAGGTAATCCATATAAAAAAAATAGAAAGTTTTTGCTTAAACTGAGCCGGAGAATTGTCACACCACACTATAAGATGGTCATACCTGTCTCGGCCTTGCTCCGTCTGAAGTTTTTTGAGAAAATAGTCCAAGATTGAGATCACTTCATTTGGGCCTACACCAGCAATAGACTCGTCGTACATAAAACAGTGTATGACCTCCTGGTTTGCGCAGTATATACCCATTAGGCTTGTCCTGAGCTTTTTTGAGTAATACCAGTCTTGAGACGACACCTTTGGTGTAGGTAAGCTTTTGTGAAAATCCATATGCAAAGTAAGCGTTTTCGAGGCCATTTTAGTCCATGAAAGGGGCTTGACTACGTGAGGCTTAACACATCGTGCCCTCTTTAACGCAGCACTCAGTTTACTTTAAAACTTATCTCTTCAGTTATTTACAGCTTGCGCTAGTGGCTCGATATTCAAAAAAAAAAAAACTACCGTTATCACTTACGTTTGCGACAGTCATTGGAAGAGAAACTTAAGAGAGCGCGCGCAGGTTCGTTGACCTTGCAAACAGTTGTCTTCACATTAGGGACCCTAAGCAAACACGACTTTGAGCGATGCACGTCAACCGGAAGTGAGGCCTTCTCTTCTTTTATATGCCTTGACGCTAAAAAATTTGTATCGCTAAGTTTCTTTTCTCTTATAAAGACGATTTGCCCGAAATTTTGAGCCCACCCACTGCCCAATGTTGCAAAAAGCCCACTTCCGGTTGACGTCCGTCGCTCAAAAACGCTGTTGCTTAAGCTCCCTGTTGGAGCCAAGAGTCACGTTTGCGGCAAACGGCAAACGTGAATTTGTACCACGTGACCAAGTGTTCCCTGTTTCTTGTTGTGAAATTCTCAACTTGAATCTGACGTTTGCTCTTTTCCGTAAAAGAGACTCTAAATATCTCTGTTCAGTCTGCCATGGCTCACGGTTTCCTGTACTTTTTTGAACTGAAATTGTATGTGTTTTAGTGAATCTTTTTCCGTGATGCGGTGTGTATTTTGTATTAGTACGGGGACTTTTTTATGTAATGAATAATTAAAAGGGATGACAATTCGAGGAGGGCGATTTTTTTAAAACAGATAATATAACAAATACGCAACCCTTTTTCGGATTCAGGTCCATGTTTCATGGTAGGAGGGAGGGCTACCCACCTCAGTCATAAGGCATAGGAAGGTTGTACTTTCCTCAAGTTAACAAAGCCTTGATCTGAGACATGCGATTAGCTTTGGTAGGCTAAGGTAATAGGCCCTTTGCAGCTAGTCATTCACGTGGTACAAAACCGCCGTGCTCGAGAGCAAAAGTCGCACTGGGACAAGACTAACAAAGAAAATTACCATTTAAAATTATGCCGGTATGTCTTTTGTCTGTCTTGTCCCAGTGCGACTTTTGCTCTCCAGCATGGCGGTTTTGTACCACATGAATGGCTAGCTGCAGAGGGCCTATTACTAGTGCCATCAAATCGCAAACTACAAAGTTACCCACCTTCTCTCAAATCAACTCGAACTCAGCAAGTACAAATTCTTTCAACACTTTATTCACCTTAACTATACTGAGTTTTAAACTCTTCCTACATTTTCTTGACCTTCAAGCTAAAGCAAAGAGGAAATCAGCGTCGACAATTCATCTGCTAACTTTCATCTGTACACCCATTGACCCGTTTCTTAGACAGAACAAACATGTCATACTTTAAGGCAGCATATCTCCTTTCGCCCTCAATTAAATGATTTTCACGTTCTGTTCTTATTCTTTGAAGTTCTTCTTCATTTCTGGCGCTGTCCTCGGCTGCGCCGTTTGTCATTCGTCCTATCGTGTTTAAGGTCTTGTCACAAACCTGACATGTGTCTTCTCGTGGTTTTCGAAAACCCAACCTGCTGCCGAGATCTTCGTTGAACACGTTCCTGAAGGTAGTAAAACTTATAACAGGACCTTTGTTTTTCTTTCCCAAACGTGTCGAGGTGAAATTCGGGTATTGTCTAGTAAACTGTCCCCACATTCTCCTCATAGTTGTCGGCGTATCAAAAAAATTGTTTTTCCGTTCGCGCCCTTCTGTAGTGCGAGTGGTTTGCCGAATGGGAACAGATAAACTCTGTTACTTGTCTCCTCGCATCTTCCGTCAATTTGCGCGGTCTGTTACTGTGCCTACCCCGTTTATCGGGGTCAATAGATAAACAGTCACAATCCATTTTCTCTAAAAGGACTTTAATTTTTTTAGGCGACACTCCATAGCATTTCATGAAGGCGATTTTGCACACAGGGCCTAAGGCTGGGATACTGTAGGTTATTTTTCTGCGTCCGCTAGGAAATAGTTCCACTTGCATAAGTTTCGATATCACGTAATTTTGTTCGTTGTAGTTTCTAGATCTATAGAAAGCTCTACCTCGTTCCTGTCGAATAACTTGCCTCGCAGTCTCTATGCCATTCTTTAAAAGACATCCACCGTTGCAGCAGACCAAATTGACCGTGTCAACGTCGCGATAGGCGGCATTTTTTCTCCTTGACGGTGTTTGCTTCCTTGAAGAGTACCTTTTATCCATTTTGAATCTAGTTTTTCTTCTTCCCCGTTCAACCGAGGAGGCTGTTGGTGGTCCATGACGGAAATGGCTCCATTGATTGTCCACGTCAAAGTCATACAAAAATCGGGATAGGTCGGGAGCTGATTCTGCTTCACTGTTGGAAGCTGCAGCATAAGCCATTTTAAAAAAAAAACTATCGACAAGCAGGAGCGACAAGCTTTGTTCGAATCTTCAGTTCTACTTCAAGTTGTACAAAAACGCGCATTACTGCAGTTACGTAAAAAGGGAGACGCCACCGTTCCACTGCTCGCGCAAAGTTTAGAACTGGCACAAAAAACGACTGAAAAATCGTTTATTTATTTATTTTTTCTTTTACAGAGGGGGATTAACTAGTTAGGTTTTGCGCTTGCAGCCGTTTTAAGATTGGAGAGTATGGTAGATCGCGTGACTGGTTATTTTAGCGCGCCTCGCTTTGAGGCAGAGAGTAAGCTTTTTTTGAAGGCTTATTTCTCGGAGGGGGTGAATTTTGCAAGAGAGAAAAACTGTGCATATATAAATATGGAACATAAACTACGCGATGGAAGGGGTTTCAGGTCAGTGAAAATCGTTGTTTTATTGCTGAAGGACAGCAAAGTCAGTAGTTCTAGCATAGCTGCGCTGAGAGAGACGAGAAGTACTGGGACGGGTGAGTATTTGTACCCAGAGACGTGGCTATTTTTAGCTGTCGTCCGCATCCACTGCTACCCAGGGAAAGTAATCTACACGTGAAAAAGTCAGATCGATTGTTCCACGAAAGCACACGTAATTATCGTAAGTTTTTGTCGTCGTTAGAATTGCAATCGCCACAATTGAAAAAGACACCATATTTCACATCCCTGATGAGGGCTCTGCAGTTCCTGATTTATTGTTGTTGTTGTCGTTATTATTTTTATTATTGTCATTATTACTATCATCAACATCTGAGCCTTTGCATTGTGCTTTCCTTAAGAAAAGCTTCACAAAGACCGAGACTAACCCTTAGTCCTAAGGTATTGACTTCAGTTTCTAGGTCTTCGTATTCTGAGAGTTTTTCAGTGACCTTAACAGAGGTGGTCTTGTCTAAACGCTTTGCAACGTAGTTTGCACGTCATGTTTTCGTGATCTTAGATGACAATGTCTGGTCTCTAAGTAGCGAATCCTTGGTCGGTGTGTATTTGCATCTTCCTTAGAAATGTAACATCTTCATGTTCTACAACTGTCTGTTGGCTTAAATAGATGATACCATTGTCCTGGCATCTTTTAATATGATATTATAATTCGGCCATATCTTCCAATGAATGCACTTGCGGCCTGATCATGGCTATGGATAAACCGAGAGTTTGAGCACTAGCCTGTTCCAGGTGTTCAGATAGTAGAGTACAGTGTTCAAATGGTGGGGAGTCAGTTAACACGCTCTACTGTCTGAACGCCTGGAACAGGCTAGTGGAGCACTTATTGTTTTTTTGTGAATTTCTGGAGAGTGAAGGGCGGGAGGGGGTGAGAGAAAGGCACTTATTTAAACCGGGCTTCTCTCCTTCTTATACAGCACTTGTTATAATACATAAATTTATTGGAGATCCATGTACTGTATACTGTATATTTTGTAAGGAGAGGTGTTAAGGAAAAGGAGGCTGCAATAGTAAACCCTTCTTTGATTATTATTATTTTCCAATATGGTCACTTTATTGAAAAGGCAAGTTAGTGTCAAACTTAATACTGCTATCGATCCCAGTGGATCAGTTAATCCCCACAAGAGGAGAAAATAGCACAACTTTTTTTGTGTTATTCCTGATAAGAATTTCCCTTTTTCCTCATCGTTCCAGCAAACTCTATTACGTTGACAATTACGGTACTTGCATGTAGCATTGTCAAACTTAACTAACCCTGTGGTTCAATTAATTCAATCCTGGCTGAAAGTTATACTGTACAAAGTAATTCTTATGGATGAAAATGGCACAAAACTTCCCATTTGTTTATTTTATTGTTCAAATGGCAATCTTGACTGAATTTGACCGTAAATAGTTTAGTGGCAACTTGATCCCATCTGATCTGGAACCAGGGCAGGCTGAAAGACAAAATGTGAAAAAATTAAAAGAAATTTCGTTTTGAGCTACAACACCCCTGCCACGCCCCCAAACCACCTACACAGCCAATTTTATGCTAATAAATAGCCTGTATACAGACCCCCTCCCTCCCTGCAGGAAAAATCGGAGAAGGCAGGGGAAGGGGGGGTACTGCACACAGGCTAGCTGATAAAGAGAGAGACTGGAACTCTGAAAATTGAAGCACAATATTATTCTGCAACCGCACGTTTATGGTATATCTATGTGTTACTGGCAAAAATTATCAAGACAGTCAATTTAGAAAAGTCTTTGGCAGTTATAACAGATGTGCAATATTCCTGCTTCCTGCTCAGAACGAGTTGAGTTTCATAAATTGTGCACAAGGTGAATGTTAAGTGTAAACAAAGTTTCTCTACTGCACTTGCTTACCTTACCATTACTTCATGAATGCCTGGTGAATGGATCTCTTGCTTGTGTTGAAATGATGGCATCCGCCTTTTTTTTTTTGAAGGTGACCATGGTGACCGGGACGAGGCAGTGTTGCTTTTCTACCCATTGACTGTCTAACCCAACTCCAGTCAGAAGAAGCCACCCCAACACTCTTGTGCTGCAGGAAGTGATACATGTACATCTCCATCCAAGAGGATTAAGGAGTGAATTTGGCTAGCCACGTATATTTAAGGGCTATCTACTGTGTTTGACTCCTCAACTAGTACAGCAAAACACTGGCCCATTTCCAACCTGTCTTAAGCTTGTCATGGCTAACTGGAGGGTGGCACTGGTTTCTTCTGCAAAGTCTCTAGCAGTGTACACAGTTGCTGTGTGGATAAAATGAATACAATAAAACTTCTTTTATACTGCACTTTAAAAGCTGGAGCAACCTATTTCTGACTGTGAACAACTCGCCTTTATTTGTGCAAGCAAAACTTGAATCCAACTTCCTTCTTGAAGGAATGGTTTCAATTACAAAAAATAACACTAATACAGTGAAGGTACTAGTAGGATGTCTAGTCCTCTAGGCTTTTGACTGAAGATGAATGGAATCATTACACTGAGAAAAGAGTGATTTCTGGCATGAAATGGTTTAATCTTAAGTCTCTGTCTTAGCCATTAGAATGTATCATCTGGGCTGGTAATTAGCAGTGTGTGCAGATTAGGCAGCCGGAAAAACTAGACATTGCGATTTTCTCCCCATTTTGTGGAAAAAAAATCCACGGCATAAAATCAATACTGATCTGGTCCAACCGACCAGTCTCGGTGAGATTAAGAACTTACAAAAACACCAGCCGAAGAATTTTCTACCTTCTCTCGCCATTACCAACCTTTTACAGAGCAAAAATCGTGCAGGGACTACATTCTGTGATTTGATACCTTTCATTCCTTTATTGACCCTGTTTATTGTAACCGAGGCGGTGTCTGTCATGGGCTTTTTTGACCAGTCCCCATAATTCTCTTAAGGGTCAGTGAGATCTTGAGGTGGTTTTCACCTTTGAGATCCAGCTGCAATGCTAAAAGGTCCTTTGGCTCTTCTTTTTAAGATTAGGGATGGGTTTCAATTCTGGCATATAATTATGTGAACAGCTTATACTTCAGCACACGCCATATCAAGTGCACAAAATAATAGACTACTGTTAAGCATTTACGCACCACAAGTAAAAATAATGTTTCCACTTCCTTTCCCCAGAAGATGCTGCCGGTGATTGTTTATGTGGTCTGTCAGAATGTGGCATAAGTAATGGTCCCCTGGATTCAAGAAGGAAAATCAACACTGAACCCTAAACCTGAAAGAGGCAATCTTGAGGTTGTCTATATGTTCAAAAAAAGCTGTCTGCTTGACAATCGGAGGAAAAGGCCTGTGATGAATCTTAAAACCTTGTTGTGTATGTCCAACAGTTTAATTCTCTGATCAACTAGGAGAATAATAAAGTTTACATCTCCAACAACATTAGTACCATGCTGTGGAGATTGAAGGATTAATCGCTTGCTTATGATACGGAATCCTTTATTTCAATGTGTGGACTAGACAGAAAAGACCAACATAAACTGCAGCAATTAACAATCTTTGGGCTACACAAACAAGTATGGAGGGTCAATGGTTTTTTGTTTCAGTGTACTCCTGTGATTATCTTTGCTTTGTAATGCAACAGTGTCTCGATGACTCACACTTTGTTTCTGATATATGCCGACAATCATTACTCCATTTCACATTTCATTACTCCCCCCAAACGTGAGTTTAAAACAGTGTTTTTAATCTGTTTTGCTTTGAACAAGCGTGAGCAGCACAAGATGAACAATTATTCTGATGCATTCAGCTGAATTCTGAATGGCTGAATTGTTATGTTGCTAAGGGAATGTCATGCTTGATTCCGTGTGGGTTATGTAAACACAAGACCAATTGCCATGTCTACGAAACAAATATAGGAGGAAACTTGTACAACCTCATGAAAAGCCTTTATTGCAACTCGACATGTTCCATCAAAATCGGTGAAAACAAAACACAGCCTTTTTCATATTCCAGAGGTGTACGCCAAGGCTGTATTTTAAGCCCTCTTTTATTTAACCTCTATTTAAACAATGTACCACATTTATTCGAAAACACACACCTTATCTGACCCATTTGTTCTTCCAAATGGGAAAAAAAATAAATTCACTTTTGTACGCAGATGATTTAGTTATTCTATCAAGATCGAAAACTGGATTACAGAACTGTTTAAATGCGCTTTCCTTGTATTGTGACAAATGGAAGCTAAAAATTAATCCGAAAAAAAAAAAATTATGATATTCCAGAAACGCAAAAAAAATCTATTGACATCAAATTCCAACATAGGCAGTGAGTCAATTGAAATTGTCCAAGAATACACTTATTTAGGTACACGTTTAACTCCAACGGAAACTTTACACTTGCACTCGAACACTTAAAAGAAAAGGCCCTTCACGCGTTTTCTAGTATTCGAAGCGGACAATTCTTAACAAACTTAATCCTAATACTGCATCCCATATTTTTGACACCATGGTATTCCCAATCTTAAGTTACAACAGTGAGGTATGGGGAGTGTACACCAAGCAAGATTTTAAAAATGGGATAGCTCCCCAATAGAAAAAGTCCACCTCAAATTCTGTAAACGTTACTTAGAGGTTAACAATAAGGCCTCTAACATAGCTTGCAGAGCTGAACTTGATAGATTGCCGCTGCTTATCCCGATAAATCAGAAAATTATGAAATATTTTGTTTACCTCAACAACAAAGATAATGACTCTATAGTCAAACAGTCTTTCCTTATGTCAAAGAATCTACATTCAGGATATTTTTCCAATTTCATAAACATGTTTGAACAAGACAATCTAACCAGTTTAGATGCTGAATCTCTAGATAATGATAAAATTAGACGATATACCACAGAAATGAGAGAGAAATATCTATCTTTTTGGTGGCACAGCCTTGAAAATTCAAAAAAACTAGAATTTTATAAAACTTTTAAAGACGAATATTCTACATCTGATTATCTCTACCAGCTAAGACGTTATGACGAACGACAGAATTTTGTTAAATTTAAAATAAGTAATCACAAACTTATGATTGAACATGGTCGATACCAAATCGATCATTTGCCAAGAGAAAATAGATTATGTCCCTCATGTAACTCAAATCAGGTAGAAGATGAGATTCATTTCCTCTTTCAATGTAACAAATACTCATTACAGAGACAGGCATTTATTAATCAAATCAATCGAATAATACCTGACTTTGACAAGAAATCATCTCCAGAAAGCATAAAACTGATAATGAATTCGAAGGAACATCATTTTAAAATACATATGTTTTTTTTTTTTTGTTGTTGTTGTTTGTTTTACTACATTCTGCAAATTATATTCAAACAGGTGTTGTGGTCCGGTTTTAGCACGCAGGTTCGATACTATTTTATTCATATTGTCTTGAGTTTCATTAGTGTTATAAGGCTCGATTTCGTTTGACTGTAAATATCCTAGCGATTAAAATGTGTAGGCCTGAAATAAACAACACAAGCTTGTAAGGGTTACTACACAGCTGCCATGAGAGACGAGAACGGATTTCGCAATACAATTTGTACTGCAGTGTCCAATGAATGTAACACTGTAACTGTTTGCTTACCGATTATAACGATGTACAAAGAAACCCTGAATCTTGGAATATTCCTTGCTCGATCCCTCTGAGATCCTGGAGATCGCCATATTTGATTTTAGACACAACTGAATTATGGGTGCAGCACAGGTCACCCAGATAGTTAGGGCCTGTTGATAGATGCTAATCTTTGCGGACAGAGGTTAACAGTAGGGTTGGCGAAAAACCGTGCGTTTTATATTACAGAGAGTGAAGTTCGCGCTGGGAGGGTTTTCTTGTTTGTGAGAAAGTGTATTCTTACATAATGGAGTAGGCCATTTGCACGTGGTGTCATTTTACCATTATCAGGGTATTGCTTTCTTGTGCAAGTTAAGGCTTTTGTTATTAAAACCTTACTGGGTATGGGGCGCCAAATGTAAAAATATTATTTAGGCAATATTTTTCTAATTTTTGTGCTATTTAGCAAATAGCACAACAGTTGTCTTGCGATTTGTAAATAACGCTTTCCAAGACATTTGCGATATGTTAATCACAGGTATCGGACTTTTCGCTGCTTAGCGATTTATAAATTGCAAGATTTCAAACTTTGCAATTTATAAATCGCAAGATACTTTACTTTGCGATTTATAAATCGCAAGCTACCTTACTTTGTGATTTATAAATTACAAGTCTCTAAATTTGCAATTTATAAATCGCAAGATACTTTACTTTGCGATTTATAAATCGCAAGGTGTCTGACTGTGCAATTTATAAATTGCAAGATACTTAACTTTGCGATTTATAAATCGCAAGATGTCTGACTTTGCAATTTATAAATCGCAAGATGTCGGACTTTGCAATTTATAAATCGCAAGATGTACGACTTTGCAATTTATAAATCGCAAGATGTCTGACTTTGCAATTTATACATAGCAAATGTGCAATTTATAAATCTCAACTGTGTGTTTTAAGAATCTCCAGAATCTCGAATGTGCGATTTATAAATCGTACATCTGCGATATGAAAATCGCGGCATCTGTGCGATTTAAACCGCAAGCACTGCGGGCTCGTACTCTAACAAAAATTTGGCGGCAAAGTCACTATCTCTTGTTTTCAACAATGGCGGACGATCTTGCAAGACGACTGTCAGCAGCCGCTTCGAGAGCTATATCTGAGGCCCTCAATGCTGATTTAAATCAGGTATAGACTGTCCTCTACCGTTTTTTAATTTTAACGAATTGATCCCTTTTATCGCTCTAAAAAGAGTTCGGCTTCCAGGGAGATTCAATTATTGCATTGTGGTCATATTCCTATACTCGATTTGTAGAGCTCTAGTGATTCCAGTGCATCTGCCAGCGCCTCGTCATTCGCTTCATCCCAGGTATTTATAATTATTTTCTTTTTCAGTGTCCGCGAGATCGTATAGTCCTTAACATCGTTCAGAATGTCGCAATCATTACATTTTTTTCGCTGAAGATTTCGTGACGCTAGTAACCCGAATCTAAATCCTTTACTACTTTAGTTTCAGAAATTCCTCTTTGAATTCTTTTGACATATGTGTCTGCTTAGGACATAGAGGCTCCTTTTTATGCATACATTGGAATAGCTTGAGCCACAGGCGGAACTAAAAATTTGGTTACTAGCCGGGATAAGCGCTTAGAACGCATGCGGATAAGCGCTATATAAGTGTTATTATTATTATTATTATAAGGCCCTGTTTACAAGGAGGGAGGGCATAACCCTGGTGCTAACAGCTTAGGTTACACTAACAAGAGGGTTACCCTAACTGTAAACGCTCTGCTAGGGATAACTTGCCTACCGGGACAACTTTCCCCCGTCATGCGTGACCAGCAACCTTGACAATTTGAACAGAATTAACCAATTTCTGACCTAAATTACAAACATCTGAACAATATAAGCGACTGTGCAATAATTATCAGGAGGGGGGGGGGGGAGATGAAAAACTAGAGTTATCTAGCAAAAACTTAGACAGTACCCCCCCTCCAAAACAAAAAAATTAGTTCTAACCCCGCTCTGTTATGCTAAAAATAACGTCGCACCCCACCCCCCAACCACCCACCCAAGATTTAGCCAAGTACCGGGGTGCTAACCACATTGGCTCAAAATCTAAAACTTCTGAAGCCAGAGAGAGAAAGAAGCAGAGAAAAAAATCAAAGAACAGGAGATTGCACGCTTCAAACAACAGACGAAAAAGAGCTTGCATTATATTTAGATCCTTGGGAGGAGAGCCTGATGAACTTTGTTATGAGCCACATATATATGGAATTCAGCAAATCGATTCAGTCGATGAAGAAACATTACTTTTATTCATATCAAAAACCGACAAAGCTTGTCTACGAGATATTTTCCTCCCTCCTTGTCAACAGGGCCTTAGTGTACCTACGATATTTTTTTCCTGTCAGTGTAGAAGCATGTTTTTCGAATACGCGAGAGTTCATACCTACTACTGTATATAGTTTTTAGTTTATATATCCTCCCCCTAATTGGTGTCCGCAAATTAGTAAGGGATTCTTTTTTTTTTCCTGGCTAGACGGCTTTTGACACTTTAATAAAGTTTTTATCTATACGCCTGCTACATCAGCTGTTACATTCGGCGATGTTTAAGTTGACTCTATCATTGATTAATTGCGTATTAAATAAATTGACGTGACGCCTGATTACTCTTCTTCCTCCTTGTAATATTATAGCCAACTTCCAGGGACCAACTACCTACGGTTTGCAATCAGGCAGGTTCAATCAATGCGGTTAACTTGCCTCCAATTCGGTAAGTTCCTAACTACGCTACGACAAATTATCATTGTGAATATCTCCTAAATATTTTTGAAGAGAGAATAAATTATTCCTAGAAAATTGTAACTGATGACTGTTTCAATCCTGGGAATTATTTTTTACTTGCGTTAGCAGCGGCGGCGGAGCAAAATGAAAAGTGGTTGGGGGGGGGGGTGAAACTAAAATTGGACAATCCATTTTTTCCGTACCATTCCCCCTCCCAATTAGCAATAAAAGGTGGCCTCTGTCCTTTTTTAAAGACGCCATCAACATTTTGCACTCCTCGGATGCAATCTTCAATGGTGCCGAGGACAAAAACTACATAACATGACAACCTTCCATAGGGGGTAGGAGGGGGGTGTTTCTGTGCCCCCCCACAAAAAAGTGAAGGGCTGAAGCTCTCCCGCGACAACCTGCCTATGCTTAGTTAACCGAACTATAGTAGTCATGTGAAGTGGACTTATCATAACGCCACCCATCCTTTTGTTTCGTTTCAATACTATTTAACAATTATTCCTCGAGCCCGAATGGGCTCTGAGACAATAAGTTGTTTTAGTAAAATCCAACTAGTTGCTCAAAAATATCGAGAATAACAAACTTTAAAACCCCCCGCTTTTTGCTACTTGTGGGCTATAACATATAGCCTAGTAGTAGCTCAACCAATCAGGACGCAGCATTGATAATAGACCACTAGTTGGATTTTACTAATATATGATACCATGTGATAAAGACCTTTTGGCTGTAATACGTGGGGTGAGAGCTGCATATTGCATGATAATCTATGACCTTCCCCCTCCTTGGCCGGAGAAAAACCAGGGCAGTTACTATACCACATTACCATCATTATTTGTAAGCTATTTCTTGTAAGTAGTTTCAGGGATTTAATCACGACAACTAATAAATAGTCTCTGTTAATGTAGGAAAGCAGGAAGACCTTCAAAGGCATTATCCAAAGAACGATTAGAAGGGTTGCTAAGGCTTAAGATACCAATTTCCCGTATTGCCGAAGACTTACGGGTATCTCGTCCCACAGTGTACAAAGCGATGGCAGAATACAATCTACACGAAACCCGTTACTCTGATATTTCAGAGGCAGATATTCAGCATGCTGTCTCTTCTATCAAGGGTAATCATCCCAATGCCGGTGAGGTTATGCTGCAAGGTCACCTTAGAGCCCAAGGAATCAATGTTCAGCGCAGCAAAATACGCAAGGCTATACATGACTTAGATCCCTCTGTGACAACAAGGAAGAGGCCAGCAATTCGTCGACGTGTTTACTCAGTCCCCTATCCAAATTATTTGTGGCACCTTGACGGTAACCACAAGTTAATTAGATGGAGGTTTGTGATCCATCACTGTATCGATGGTTTTAGCCGCCTCATAACCTTCTGCCGCTGCTCAACAAACAATAAGTCAGAAACTGTTCTTCTTTCTTTCAACGAAGCTGTTCGTAGGAACGGCAGACCTCAGCGAATCCGCAGTGACCATGGTGGAGAGAACGTTTTGGTATGGAGAGATATGACGTTGGCTTGGGGAGAGGATGCAAGGTCTGTTATTGTCGGGTCGTCGGTACATAATCAGAGGATAGAGCGACATAACCGATCAGTGAACGAGCACGAGCTATCAGTTTTCAAGTCCGAATTTTATGACCTCGAAAGGGCGGGTATTCTTGACCCTCTGAATGAGACCGACCTATTTTGCCTTCACTATGTCTACTTACCGCGCTTGAACAAGAATCTCGCCGAGTTTGTTTCTGCTCATAATAATCACAAGATTTCTACAGAGAGTAATAACACTCCGGCCCAGATCTTTTGGACAAATCTACATTTAACAGCCTTTGGAGACGGCCGGGACCCAAATGATGCATGGATGGGTGTAAATGTAGATGAGCTCATCTCCACGAATTTGCCGTACGTACAAGTGCCTCCAACATCAAATCCCTTGGGTGAGACAGATTACCAAGAGCTACAACGTCTCGTTGATCCGTTAACCTCGACTTGTGGTAAAGAACTCTACCGTCGAACGGTTGACTTTGTGGGGAGAAAGTTATCAATTCATTGACATCTTAATTCACCTTTCTTTTTCCAACAATTTGTTTTTGTTTGTTTGTTGTTGTTTTGTTGTTTTTGTTTTTTTGCAGTAAGGTAGTGTAATGTTGAAAGAAAACTTGAACTTGGAAAGAAAAAGTTTGTTTAATGATGTGTACAGCAACGTTTCCATAACACGGTACGAGAAGTTATGCTGTTAAATAATTATATATGGGATGGCCTTTTTCCTAGCTGCTGAAATAAAAACTGACTGGGAATATAGAGAACGCCTATTTTCTGGTTACAATCACTTATTCCTATAGGCTCTGGCTCACACTCTTGTTCGTCGAAGCATCCACTGTCGCCTAACTATGGCTGCCCAAAACTGGGAGAGTTAAGTATGGCAAAATCCATTTTCTCTTTAAAATCGTCGTAGGTATCATGGATCGTAGGCAATCTGATGGTGGCTGAACACGTATTTGCAGTAGGGAACGCTCCGTCTACAAAGGAGATGGTCGGTGTTGTATCAAAACCCAAAGTGGGGGGTACATCAGCACCAGTCGCAAACGCTAAAACATCCCCCAGAGTTGCTTTGGCCTCCCTGCCTGAAAAAGAAAAAAATATATAAACTGATACAGTATTAAAGCCCTGTACTATTCAAAATAAACAGATGACCTTTTCAGAGATATACATGTTTACAATTCAGTGTTGGTTGTAAATGTTTGTCCAGCTTTGATTGGCTTCAATCCCGCCAGTTGTAATGAAAAGGTGCAGACGGCCCGTTTTTCTGCACAGATCTTGGGAAAATGGCAGAAGAATCGGGGCTGCTGTCTACAAAAAATAGCAAGAATATAGCGCAAAAAAACCTCGATAGAGAAGAACTGCTATCATCCCACGGATAATTATTCTTCATCACGTAAAATTAAACCATGGATGAAATTGAACCAGAACATGTGCACTAAAAACTGTTTGAACCTTACTTTCACAATCTTGAAGGTAATCCCTCCAGAGGATTACAGCCAGTTCCTGTTTTGGTCTTGCGTTAGATCCCATCTCGGCAAAGTGAACCGTAAAAAGTAGATCCACGCACTGGGCATCAAGTTGGTTAACGTTTTCATTGGTGAACACATCTCGAAATTGCTGAGGGTGTCTCTGCATTGCATCTAGCACACCCAAGGTTTGTAAGCCCTTTTTAAACTCCTCCAATAGGTACCTTGTGGAGTCAATAAGTACATGGCGAAGAATAATCTTCTTATACCAATCCTTCTGTTCGATGCTCGAAGGTACTGGGCTTGCACCAAGGTCACTTAAAATCGTCTGTATCTCTTCATCATACAACCTTTCCTTTAACTCTTTCACTGATGTAGACTGCTCTATCTAGTGAAAAAAGTATAAGGACTAAAACTTGCTCGTTTTGATGACAACCACAACTCAGTGACCACAATAGTTATCATTGTTAATAAGCAAATTTGATATTCGAGACAGCATTGATGAACGGAAAGACGATCTTTGACAACATTAGTCGTGCAATGATGACCGGCAAGTAAATCTATCAAAAACTGTTAAACCTTCAGAGGTTCTGTTTGTCATGTTTGGCTTTTCTCCCCGTTATTACTATTATCATTTTTTTTTGTTTCTTTCGGTGTCGGGGTTGCCCAACTTGCTCCTGATACCCAACGTCAATTTTCGGAAAATATCTGTTCGGAAGACGATTTGAGATCGAGAATTTTCGGAAATTTTTTTTTTTTTTAATTTCTTGCTTGCTTGCCTCTCCTAGGATTTTCGAACATCTAAAAAATTGTATAATTGTCCATTCTTTAATAACGGATTTTTACCCTAAAAAGATCACCTAGAATTTTTCGGGAGCCTTTTATCTGGCTGAAATTTTCAAACAGGTAAGTTTTGATCCCTATAATTTTCGGGTAACTAGACTTTCAGCTACGAAATCCGAAGAGATGGAAAATTTTTAGGGCATGAAAATATCCCAATATCTACCTTTCAAATACTAAAATACATTTAACAATGCTATGTTTAAGTGGTTTTGAACTATATTCTCGTTGGGTGCCCCTGAAATTCCTGCATTTGATATTTCACTCTTTGATAAATTTGAAATCGCGCGAATAAAACGATGCTGTCCGGAGGCCCTAGCGAGGCGGCTCAATTATCGAAAATAAAAAGGTTTTCTTTTTATTTATTATGGGACCGTAATTGAAACGTTGCTGAAGTCAACAGGTGGTCAGAGAAATCAAGCGTAAAGACATTTCATGGACCGCTTACCTTTTGAATTTTTTCTTTGAGTTGTAGGGTAGGAACATCGTCTAAACTCGGATTTGTCACGTCTGGCCCATACACGACAGAATCGTATAATGTAGGGCACAAAAATTTTCCACCGGGACCGCCGTGGACCACCGACCAAGCCAGAATTAGACCTACCAGACGGTAGGCGTCTTTTTCACGTGCTATAGAAAACATTAAGAACGTAAACATAACACTAGTGAGGAAACAAAATCTTGAGAAACTTTCTTTTCCAATAAATACGTAATTTCAGTTACAGTCAAATTAGCTTTAAGTGGTCTTTCCCTTAGGTTTTTTTAAAAAAGTAAATATATAACTGCCTTAATCAAGACTAAGAGGTCAAAAGTTCTGAGGGAGAGTTGGGGAATTACCGAGCCGCGTTAACGTTTTTTCGTAAACATTTCCCACACACATGAATTTTTTTAGGCCAGTGTAGGAACATTTTTGCGAGCCACTAGGCTTGGGTGATTTTTTTAATAAGATTTTTCCTCGCACAGAAACAGTTAAAGAAAATTTATCGTGGGATAAATATTTCTCTCTTTCACCATGTTCAAACCTGTATGAAGCCGTCATGAAATTACTTCCCGAGGAGAGGTGGGGAGGGGCTATCATCTTCATCATTTTTAGTTGTTCTCTCTAACGTGGAAATAAATTTCCCTGAAGAAAAGCCCATAGGACCGGGGTACACTACATACCAAGCGAGTTTGGATATAACATCCTACATCCTTCTGGTCCGATGAAAACTCCAGAATCTAAATTGGCTGACCTAACCGCCAATCTTAGAAACTCCCTCTTGGGACCCCCAACGTCTACGGCACCCTCGCTAGTGCCCACGTTGTCCGCGAACTTAACCGAAATATTGTTGCCGGGAGAGAATTTTTTTCTCGACATTTGACGACACGTATCAGACCAAATTGCACTTCTTCGGACATTTATATGCGATGAATGTTCCCGGTTCAGTTGTCCTTGCAGCTCCTGAAGTATTTCAGGGAGTGTTGCAGTGTTGTTACTGAAATTCAAAATAATAAGAATCATTAACAGATCCAAAGTTTACTGTTCTACGTGTGGAAAAACACAGTTCCCACAGGGCGCAGCTTGTTCCAGGCTCTCAGATAATGGGGATGGTGCGTAAGCGAAAGGCACGCAAATAAATTTGTCGCTTTCTCAATTTCGCAGACCCAAGAGCCAGGAACAGGCTAGGCAGGCAGGGCGCAGAGAAGTTATTCGTAAACTTGACTGAAGTTGTACAGTTGATAGCGTGAATCGGCATTATTTACTGCAGAATCGAAAATCAAACCGTCATGCGATTCTGTGCAAACTTGGGGTAAATCAAAAGCCCCGTAAAATCGCTGAAAGCCGATTAACTGCGTACAAATTGAAGGAACTAAGCTCTTCCAGCAACATTTGTTCAATCGAACCGGGCATTGGGTAATATATATGTTAGCAGGTTTGTAACACGATCGAATCACTGTTTGATTGGTCCATGTCCCGGGGGCACTTGGGTATTTTTTGGGTGGGTATGTGCCGCCCGGGACTCCAAATTGGCACCCCGTTCTAGAAAAATTTTCCCTAAAATTGACACCCCGTTCTACAAATGGGCCAATTTTTTATACCCCGTTCTAGAATTCGCCCTAAAACTGATACCTTGTTCTAGAAATGGGCCAATTTTTTATACTCCGTTCTAGGGGGCAACAAGAGTACAACGGTTTGCTTGTTAACGCATTGAGCCGTATTTTTAAAAGCAATCTGTCCTTGAATAATTTCAAATGGCTCCTTACAAAAGTGGAGCTTTGATGCGTTCGAAATATTATACCTCGTTCTCCAAAACGCCTCTGAAATGGATACCCCGTTCTAAATCAGGAGCTTCCAAATCACGACCCCTTTGGGCGGCACATACCCGTATAGGTAATGTATGGGAGTACCCCCGGGTCCATGTCCAGTAAGTCAAGTCCATATTCGATTCTATATAAATTAAACAACGGCGAATCGCGCTATCGACTGAAACTTCAATCGAAATCATTTTCACAAGAACTCCTTTATGAACTGCACGCTAAGAATTGCCCTATGCACTAAAAGCATAAAAGTGGACATTTAAACATACTGTGTTGAGGAAGTATCGGCTGTGTCCTTTGCATCACTGGTCCCACTGTCCTCCTCGTCGTCGGAAATCAGATCGATCTCTTCGTCCACTAACGACATATACGACCTTAAAAACCGAAAATAGGCAAATTATAGAAGTTCTCAGTGGGGAACATTACATTTCCTTTTTGGCATTGGCGTCACAGCAATGACTTACCGGAAGATATCCGTGGTTTGCGTGTTTGCCACACGCGAGGACCGAAGAGACTGCGGCGGATCGGCAGCCGGCGAGGTGGTTGAAGGCTCCGGTTCAGCCAATGTTTGCCAATCAGTAAACACTGGCTGCATCAGGCTACTGTCTTCGTCTTCCTCGTCGGATAGTCCCTATTGAAAGGAAAAGTTTGAGGGGTTGAATTATCGGCAACATGCCCTTAAACTATGACGTCAAAGATAATGACAACAATTTCCTATCCAAACGATAATTTTTCCCCTACTAAAGAATGGTACATCCCTGAAGGCCATCGGAATTAAAGTTTGAAATAATAGAAAAATTCCAAAAGAAGAAAACTAAAAGAAACCAGCTGGTTATAATGCCTAACAGCTGAAAAGATGGTAGGTAGATGAGTAGGACCAGAGTAATGAAGAGATCTAGAGTGATCCACTACGAATTCATGGTGTGACCCGCTGTTGATCGTTCTGCCAACTGCAGTATACCTCTGCGACCTTAAAGTCCAAGTTAGTTCTAAACTGCGTTTGATACTAATACAGCTGCTACGTACCATTGAGCAATTTCGTTTCAATGACCGCAGGGGTTCCATTTTTGCCATGATGTACAAACTGTCCCTGGAACACACAGAGAGAACTTCCCCAGCGTCCCACACGAAAGATGAAGACGTTTTTGGAATACAAAGTTTCTTCGTCCCTGGCATTGTACTATAGAAGAACCAAAGTAAATACAGTTTTGATTCATTATACACTCCAAAAGGGAAAAGCGGGTGACGCCCATTGACATTAATTCTCACTAGCCTTCCTAACTAAGTAAACTTTAAGCGTTCCCTACCTAAGATAGACGAACGGAAAGGGGTCGTCTTTATAAAGTCCAAAAGAGGGAGCAAAAAGGCTCCCGATCTCCGATTCAACTTCGTGAGCTTTCCAGGTCGAATTTAAGCACACTTTCCCGACCAACCCTGCTTCTTGCAGGTGTGCTCGCTGTTCTCCTCTTGGTATTGGAATAGGCTCCAATATCTTTTTGACAGGTGGTAGACAAATCGCAGTTTTGAAAAACATTTTCGGTCTCGCCGAGGCTGCCACTCTCTTCCGTTTGGCCGCGGGAGGTTGGAATCTGGCGACAGCAGATGGCAAAGGGAAACGAGAAGCGAGAGCCTGGAATGGAGGACACATGGTTACTATTCGATTGTAGGATATAAGTACTGAGTAATGACATTTGCTCTTTGTGATGGATTAGTTAGTTAAAGGGAGTCATAAAGAGCCTGCCAGTGCTTTGAGGCAGGAAGAGACAGAAGAGGCATGTTCAGTGAACAAACGGTTTTCATCCTTTCTATTTAGGGACCATTCATTAACTGAACATAGGAGTGGGCTGGAGAAAAATGAACTGTATTTTTGTTAAGAACCCACCCAATTTTCTTCAGATATATTTCAGAGCCCGCCACCCGAAACTCCTCTATCGTTTCAGTTCCCAATCCATCTAAAATATGAAAGGCAGGACTTACAGCATTAACTGATACGAAAACCCTGACTCCCAGAAAGCTTTATGAGCGCCTGAAGTGCTTATTAGAGAATAACTATTTCCATGAATATAGAAGAGGGTGCAGTCTTAGCATTCTATAGGTTCTGGAAGTAAGAAATAACATAAGGGGCAAAAATCGTTGTTACATTGATAGATCACTTTCTTGTGCCACCTGTCATATAACTTCTAATCTCATAGTTTACATTTTGTTATGAGGTACGTTCATATGAGTATAAGGCATTGTAACATGTTTATTTCTTTGATGAGTATAATCTGATGAAATATAAGATTTAAAAACAAGTTTATTTTTTTCCATACTTCCCCTCCTCATTTTTCGATGTCCCCCCTAATTTTCCTCCGGCCTCACCTGACCCTTACCCCTTACCGTCATCATCAAACGATACAAAAAGCACAATTTACAAGGTCAAGAATGATTGTTCATACTGATAACGAGACGGCTTGGGTTACCCTTCCTCTTATCAGTTCAATAAGTGATGCATCTACTAGACAATGCATTAACGGGGAGACAACAAGCTACGAGTTCTAAAAAGCAAGCGTGCGCATTTTAGGAGAATGTTTCCATTACTTGATTAGTCGGAAGATCAATGTTCTAACTCTAGCTAAAGCATCGAGAGTTTTTCATTATTGTATGATTTAACAATTCGTGGAAGAATTCTACGCAATACGATATGGGAAATTGCTGATCAATTACTATTATTGGCAGCTCTTTCACTGGTGTAGATAGCTCTGACTAGTGAAATAAATTATAATCTTTAAGACAGTGTTAAGACTATTGTAGGTCCTGCGCAAAACTGTTATACACTATTTGTTTTTTCAGTTTCGGCTACCGCAAGCAAAAAGTCATGTATTGGGCGTCATATTAAAGGGAAACAATACATGAATAAACGAAAATGGAACGATGCTGAATATCACATTTCTATCTAAACAGGGGCACCCAACGACAACTTTCGGAAAAATATCTGTTCGGAAGACGATTTGAGATCTAGAACTTTCGGAACATTTGTTGTAAAATTTCTTGCCTGCCTGCCTCTCCTAGGATTTTCGAACATCTAAAAAATGGTAAAATTGCTCATTTTCAACGGATTTTTACCCTAAAAAGGTCACCTAAAATTTTCGGGAGCCTTTTCTCTGGCTGAAATTTTCGAACAGGTAAGTTTTGATCCCTATTATTTTCGGATCACTAGACTTTCAGCTAGGAAATCCGAACAGATGAAAAATTTATAGGGGATAAAAATATGCCCATATCCACTGTTTAAATACTAAAACACGTTTAACAATGCTATGTTTAAGTGGTTTTGAACTATATTCTCGTTGGGTGCCCCTGTCTAAAACTAAACGGTTCAATGAAGTCTCTTTTTCCAAGTCATGTAATTATCGAGGGTACCTAGACTCCTGCATGAAGATCTTTTGAGACGACTACACGCGAACAACTAAACCTTGATCACCAACTATTGATTAATCTGTGGGAAATAAAACTAAAAATTACACATACTTGAGGTGGAGCGGATGACGTGGCAGTAGATGCAGAAGAAGACGAAGAACCACTCGAACTCTGCAAACCGAAAACATGACCAAAATGCACAATTATTTAGAAGCTCAGAAATTGAACTTTTAACCTCAAAGATAAGATGAGGGCCATTAGCTTACCTGATTTAAATCAGCATTGAGGGCCTCAGATATTGCTTTGGAAACGGCAGATGACAGTCTTCTTGCAAGATCGTCCGCCATTGTTGAAAACAAGACTGACCTTCCCGTGCACTTTCCCGCCAAACTTTTAATAGAGTACGAGCCCGCAGTAGCAATCTTCTTCGGCTTGCGGTTTAAATCGCACATTTGCGATGTACAAATTGCGATAAGGGATGCGATTTATAAATCGCACATTCGAGATTCTTAAAAAACACAGTTGAGATTTATAAATTGCACATTTGCTGTGTATAAATTGCAAAGTCAGACATCTTGCGATTTATAAATTGCAAAGTCGTACATCTTGCGATTTATAAATTGCAAAGTCCGACATCTTGCGATTTATAAATCGCAAAGTAAAGTGTCTTGCAATTTATAAATCACAAAGTAAGGTAGCTTGCGATTTATAAATCGCAAAGTAAAGTATCTTGCGATTTATAAATTGCAAAGTTAGAAACTTGTAATTTATAAATCACAAAGTAAGGTAGCTTGCGATTTATAAATCGCAAAGTAAAGTATCTTGCGATTTATAAATTGCAAAGTTTGAAATCTTGCAATTTATAAATCGCTAAGCAGCGAAAAGTTCTATGCCTGTGATTAACATATCGCAAATGTCTTGGAAAGCGTTATTTACAAATCGCAAGACAATTGTTGTGCTATTTGCTAAATAGCACAAAAATTAGAAAAATATTGCCTAAATAATATTTTTACATTTGGCGCCCCATAACTGGGACTACCAAATTTAAATAGAAAAGAAAAAACGAAATGAACTCTGGTCTTAGTAGTAAAAATAAAGGGATACGTCATCGTACAAATGGCCCACGGAGCTGTTGCCCGCGCGAAGCCTGGGTTTTTGCCCCGTTTGGGGCAATTACACAGTCCTCCGCGGCCATGCGCAACTTCGCTGCAAGAGATCACGGTGAGTGAAACTGCATTAGTTTTTTTGTTTTTTGTTTTTTTTTACTTTCACAAGTAGAAGTCTTGACGTTTCTGTCAGTCTTTAAATGCCGGTAACTCTGGGAGACACTCGAGCAAAAGCTCTTGGTTCTTGCCGCAAGAGTTACCGGCAGGTAATTGGGGTTAAAACGAGAACGGTAAATAGGACATCTTGCTTGGAAACCGCAAGAGGTGCTCGAATATTTTCTCTCAAAGCTACTATTAACTTGAACCAGTTAACAAACTTTAGTAATGCTAGTATTTTATGCTGCGATACTTCTTTCCCTGAATTGCTGTTGCTTATTATTATTTATTATTATTATCTTTTTTCACCAGAGAGGGAGTAAAGCAGTGGTCACTGCACTAAAGGAGCCTAAAGAACTTTGACCCTTTCGAAAAAAACAGACCCAACGGACAATACAAGGACCACGGAAATAGCATACTAGATTGCTTACAAACCCTGTGTGCTTTAAGAAACCTTTTCTGGCCAAATTAGAAAGATCACCATGGCAGATTATAAACTACAAGCTAACACTTGTGTTATTTCTGTCTGATTTCACCTAAAAAGGTACCTATCTAAGAATTCCAGCCGTTGGCTAGTGTAGCTATCTAACTTACCGCCATACAGTAGTGGTGACACACGCAAGCATTGAAATCAGTGCATACTTTTTGTTCGTTATACTCCTCCCATATTAGTTGTTGGGACAAGGGCCTCAGAAGCCGGTGGGGGGTTTGAGGGGAAAGGGGCGTGATTCGCTGGCCAACCTCTACCACACTTGAACGAACCTTAGCCACTCTAAGGCCTTTTTGGTAATTCAGAAGTTACGTCAATTTGGAGACCACAGAAAAGGCATCCATTTTTTACACAGCCTCTTCTGTTGTAGGGTACCTTTTTCCAAAATCAGACAGATAACCCTAACAGATAAGCAATGATGTGTATACTGCTTTAATATTCACTGCAGCAGATAGGTGGCCATTAGAGAAGGTGGATGAGTATTCATTGGTGCAGTTAGCTGGTCATTTGGGAAATTACCACGTATTAATTCACCCTAACAGATAAGCAATGATTTGTGTACTGCTTCAATATTCACTGCAGCAGATAGCTGGCTATTAGAGAAAGCTGTTGAGTACATTCATATTGAAGCAGTTACCTTGTCATTAGGAAATTACCACATATTATTCACTGTAACTGGATAAGTAATGATTTGTGTACCGCTTGAATACTTACTGCAGCAGATAGCTGGCCAGTGGAGAAAGTGGTTGAGTGTTCATTGGGGCAGTTACCTAGTTATTTGGGAAATTACCACATATTAATTTTCTGTCTGATTTTAGAAAAGGGCACCTTTCTCAGAGTCCCAACTATTGGCTAGAGTAGCTATCTAACGTTCCGTTATACAGTAGTGGTCATGCACGCAAGCATTGAAGTCATTGCATGCTGTTAGTTTATTGTTTTTCTGCTCCGGCCCATATAAGCTGTTAGGACAAGGGCCTCGGATGCAGGGGTGAGGGGAATAGGGGGAGAAGGGGTGTGGCTCATTAGCCAATTTCTACCATACTTGAAAGAAGCTTGGCCACTCTAAGGCCTTTTTGGTAATTTAAAAGTTAAGTCAATATTGGAACCACAGAAAAGACATACATTTGTTACAGACCCTCTTCTGTTGTAGGGTACCTTTTTCCAAAATCAGACAGATATATATATATAATATAGTAATATAGTGAATTGAAGATTTCATCAGCTATTAAAGTGCTCAATAGGTAAACTAGAGCGATGTGTAGATTTGCAGAGTTGGATTATTATTTACCGCTCGTTCTTAAATGAGCACACATTGTTTCTGTATCTCAACTTATAGGTTGTATCGCAAAGACCAATGTATGTCTCTCTTGAAGATGGTGTCGTGACTTCGGCTTGGTAGATCATGTTTTGATCGTTGCATTTACCGTCCATGGGGCACGTGCTTGAGTTCCGGCAGTTACAATTGCTGTCATCGGTGGTATCATTAATAGGATCAGATTATATCCAACCACAACAAAGCTCAAATTAACACATCTGATCCTATTAATGATACCACCGATGACAGCAATTGTAACTGCCGGAACTCAAGCACGTGTCCCATGGACGGTAAATGCAACTACAGAAACCATGTGTGCTCATTTAAGAACGAGCGGTATAAGCATGCAACTGAATTAAGTAAATATATTTGGAGTCTTAAAGATAAGGGTATTCCGTACAACATCAAATGGCGAAAGGTAAAACAGGCCCGATCATATTCTAGTATAAGCAAGAGATGTAACTTGTGTTTATGGGAAAAAATATTTTATTATCTGTAAACCCGAAATGTCAACCCTGAACAACAGAAGCGAACTGATATCTAATTGTAGACATTCTAAGAAATTCCTCTTGAAGAACGTATTCGCTTAGCAACCAATCATATTTCTGCATGTCACGCCACTACGCATTGTTCTGTATTTTCAAATTTTGTACATCTTCATATGTATCCGTTATTTTTGGCAGTTGCCTGATGATTGCTCCGCAAGGAGCATGAAACTCCGAGTAGCAATAAATGTCTTCGAACAAATAATCCAACTCTGCCAATCTATATATATATATATATATATATATATATATTCTTACTGAGTGGTCTTGTGCCATAAGGTTGCCTTGGAACATTGGTAGCAAGGTCGAGTTTCAAAATCCCTTGAGTGAGGATGGCTACGAACTCAAAAGGAAGTATGAACTATCCCCTTGTGATTTTTGCATTGCCTGCAATTTCATGCAATTTCATTTTCTTCTTCTGCACGGATCCGTGTGAGTAAAGAGATCTCATAGAGCAAATAACGGAAGGCAGCGAACTAGACTTGCTGGAGATCTTCCCAACTGTCAGATACGCTTGAAGCTTGTTATCATAATGATCAGGCTGAGAAGCGCAAAATAACAAACGCCTATAAAGTTTTTTCTTTCTGAGCTTGCGTGCTGGCGGCATGATGCTCTCTCTTCAAATGGTGCGGTTCTAATCTCGCAGTCTACTGCGAATTTCAGTGACGTTACAGTTTAGCCCCTCCAGAGTTTACGTAGAGTTTATTAAACGGTTAGCATTGGGTAACATCGGCTGAAGTCAGATTGTTTCTTTCAGTAAAATTACATGAAGATCAACTTAAGTCCAACTTTACTGTGTAATATAAAATGAAATAGAAAAAATCCACTGTAATGCTTTGAACTCGGGTCACTTGCTTTATAGCCTACATCCATATCCACTACACCATCGGGGACTAGCTGCCAAACCCAATAATTTTTAAAACATACATGTTCTTTTATATGCCGTGCCCCATTACAATATTTGAAAGCTAACCGTTTTCAGATCAGTGCTTAACCCTAATCACTGCAGATCAGTGATTAACGCTCTACTATGTTCTCTCTATAACTGGCGATCTGTAGTTTTGGTTTCTTCAGCTATTCTAGCCTCATTCTACATCCCAGTCTCGTTCCATTATGGAAATAATGCGTTGTGTAAAATTCATAAGGTGTCCAATCTGGCTTCACTCGATGTTATCTAACGCTAACCTTATTAAACTCACATGAGTCGGAGGCGAAGAGTCCATATTCTCCATATTTGGCATACCCGATCTCCCTATCAGTCACGGTCTCTTTCCATATAAGGAGCATATTAAGCAACCACGACTGCGACGGCATGGAGCGAAAACGCCACAAAAAAGTGTATCCACGCTGTTTCAAATTAATTTTTATCACTCTTGTTCCATTTCGTTCAAGTTAATTGTCAAATGTTGGTGCATGTTTTTTGGTGTTGAATTCTGACGTAATGTATCTCAATTTAGGAAAAAGAAAAACAATAGTTTTCTAGTCTGAAAACGTTCCGTGTTTAGTAATGTTTAAAACATGAACAACAGTGTTATCATTGGTTTAACATTTGAGCGTAATAAGCGAGAGATTTTTTAACCAGTGATAAAACGCGTGCCTTGCATTTTTTGACAAGCCTTAAAAAAATTCGAGTTTATTTAACATATGTTAAGGGACTTGCCCCGTCCCTTCTCTGTAATAGGTTAATGAAAGTGGGCAATGTGCACTCTCGTAATATTGGAAATAGAAACAAGTTAGACGTGCCTTCCTTTCGATTCACTGCTGGTCAGCGGCCATGAGCAGTCCGCCTCTGGAATGACTATCCCGAATCTTTAGGTAATATAGTTGTGGGAAATGTTTACTAAGTTTTCTTCTCTGCAACACCAAGAAACTACCATTATCTCAAAGCTCCCGCAGTCAAATAAGTGATGTTTATAAGAATCATAGTCCGTTGATCGCTAGATCGCCGGCATATTAGAGGTCTAGTCAATGGACATCTTCCTAATATTCGGCGAGTTGATTACCTGATGGTAGATTGCAAGTTCTGCCATCTCCACTGGAAGGATCGTTACATGAACAGCTAAAAGATCCCACCGTGTTTGTACATTAAGCAAGTGAACTGTGGCAGTTTTGAGTACCGCTGGCGCACTCGTCAATATCTACAAAACGAATAATGCCAAAATGTATAATCAAAACGGTTTTCATTGCTAAGAGAGAACGGAATGAATTATCTTAAGCGCGATTTAAAAAAAGAACAAAAAAACAGCAATGATAGAGCTGCTCGTAAGGTGTTACCTCATTGGTCGCAGAAACAATAACACATCATTCATTTGTTTATCATTATTTCCATTGTTTCACGCTTAGGGTATCTAACCAATTGACTTTTAGGCCTAAAAAAAATGATCGCAAGCTTGAACAATAACCATCGTTGCACTTATTATCCGATGATATAAACTGGCTGCTTGGCTCCGCTTTTCATCTATTTGTTTACTACATACAGTCAATAGTAAAATTAATTAAACTTCCTGCAAAACCAAAACTTTAACTGTAAAAGACGAAAGGAGCACAAAAGACTCTTGCATTGTTGTCGTTGCATTCAATCTAAAAACAAACATATCATACGAACGAAATTAAACTCAAACGACTCACCAGTGCAGGTGTTTCCATTGCCTGTGTATCCTGCTTTACATGAGCATGCGTAAGATCCCACATTATTGCTACACACCGCATTAACGTCACAGCTGTGAGAGTTGGTAGAACACTCGTCGATATCTGACGGAAAAAGTAAGGAAGCTTTCATGTTTAGTGATCCAGCAAACTCTTGATCAGTAAGGTGATTTACTCTTATTTTCTCTAAGCGTTAATCCTGCTTAACTACAATAGGTAATCGCTACTTCATTTTTTATTTTTATTTTTTTTTTGCCTTTTTTACATATAAACGAACGGGGAGGACATTAAATTACACGTAATAGACACAATTAAAAAAAAAAGAACCTCAAAAGGCGAGGAAGTCTCAAGAAGGCTTATATTTGTGAATTTTTCTTAGCCCTTATAGCAGAATAGCTATAATAAGAGGGAGTATTAGAGGGAGTAAATTTCCTTTCTGAAAAATTAAAGGCATAACGATTCAATGCCAATTTTTATTAAATACAGCAGCAAAGTTTGTTCAGTTGGTCGTTTTGATTTGCTGCTCGCGAAGGGCGGCCGAAGTCCTCGCGTTGTCCGGGTTTATAATTTTGTGTCGCTACATGGAGCGTTTTGGCGATCAAAAAATGGTTTTCGCGATAAATTCAGATAGGAGAAGTATTTTAAAGAAACCTTTGAAGCAAATTGGACCATCAGCTTCAAAATAAGAGCGAAAATTGACGGATAAAATGAACATTTGTCAGTGCGTCTCACTCGCGCAGACAAGTTTGCTTTAGCTCGCAGGATATGTTTGTCGGACGTGCGTTTCAGTTTGGGTTTTACAGAAAAAACCTTTAAACTTCCCTGAAATCTATCTTTGTTTTGAGGTTAAGCCGTTAAGTGCTAAATATGCTTTAAAATACGTATTTGAAAATCAAATAGGATAATGAAACAAAAAAGAAGACAGAAAGGAGCCCCAAGTCTAACGACAGATTAGAGCCTGGTCACCTAATCAGTTTCTAACCGGCTGGGCTTGACAATTTTGCAAGAACGAGTTTAGTGAAATTTTGCGAGATACGTATTTCTAGTTTCGCTTTAATTATTATTTCGAACTATTGAGGTTATATGTCCATCGTTTTCTACATGTTTAAATGTAAAGATCAAATATAGAAAATACAGGCACGCACATCGTTTTGGAGGCGTGTTTTACAACACCGCAACAGCTTACCAGAGCATGTTTTTCCATCGCCTGTGAATCCTGCTTTACATGCGCGTGCGTACGATCCAACAGTATTGCTACAAACCGCATTAACGTCACAGCTGTGAGAGCTGGTAGAACACTCGTCGATATCTGCATGAGAATTGTAAGTTACGTAAAGCGTTAGAATAACAAATATTAAATCTACCTGATGGTTTACATCTCGTAGCTAAGGCGGATGTATTCATTTTTTTGGTTGTTGTTTGTTTGTTGTTTGCATGTTACAACAAATATGGTTTTAGGCTTTTTTTCCAAAATGACATGACAGTGTTGTGCAGTTGAGCTTTTGCACACAAACATTGCACCTTCAATGGTTTCATCGTCTTGTTTAAGAACCTTTAGATTAGAGTAGGTCGTCTCTTTGAAAAACAATTCATTGTGTGCAATTTCAAAGTTACGATATGTGTAGCTCTATGTCGACTTATGGGTCGCTTAGGAGAGATGGTCGCACATGGAGGATTAACTGTATCTCAAATACCATTGCAAGGTTTTCCATCTCCTGTGTACCCAGCATTACATGAGCATTTGTATGAACCCATGATATTCTGGCAAACAGAATTGACGTCACAGGCATGGGAACCAGTGGTACATTCATCCAAGTCTAAAAAGTAAGCACACAGAGGCTTCTTGTCAAACAACATGACTTTTTTGGTTAGTGAAGCTTGTTTAAAAAGAATATACTGTGGTGTAGTTGGGTAATTGACGTACACTGGCAAGGCAAAAAAAAAAAAATGTTTGAAAAAAGGGAACTTGCAAAAAGGGTCGTAAGCGTGCCCTGAGTTAGCGTATGTACTTATGTTCGTTAATAATTTGCAAAGAGGTGTTTAGAAAACCGGGTTAAAAAGTAAGTGGAGGTTAGTGCGACTTTTCCCGTGGTTCCAACGTATGAACGCCTTCTCGTTCTTCTTTTGATTACGCCGATTTCAGGCTTTTGCGGCCATTTTTAGGTCAAAGGACATTTTTTTAATGCAAATTATACGACCTGTTTCCCTGTGTTTGTAATAATGAAACTGATTGGTGTTACCCTCTCTTCCTTTTCATGCAACCTGTCTAACCATCTACCCAACATGCTGTAATTGTGTTTCGACCTTTTTGAATGTAGTTTTAACTCAGTAGATTCACTATCTGGAACATAAAAATTAAGATATATAGTTATAAATCTTCATAGTTCTACGCTTATTATCTTTAAAACAAGTGTAGTTGTAACAGTTAGTACACGGCACATCATTCCAAGTGTAACCATGCTTGGCGCCAAGAGTGTGAACACAGTCTTCGTTTTTCCAGTCGTTCGGTTGCTGTGGGGCCCAGAACCTAAATTTGCTTATTTCTTTGTTTGTCCACACAAAGGAG